CTCCGACGCACGACGACGTGGATGATGCGCGGAGGGACCGTCTGATCGAGGAGAGTAACATGGAAGATTACGCTGTGCTGGGAGTCGCCGGAACGGAGATGGCCGACAGGCCGAACGGCAAGCTCATCCCGGTGGTCACGCAATCTCCCAGCTGCTTGTTTTTCAACACCGGATCGCAGACCATACTCGACTGACAGATGGTGTGCGTGAGATACCCGACGGCGGGCGAGTGCGGCGAGCACATGGCACGTTACAGGACGCTCAGATGGGTGACGTACGGTGTGAATCCTTCGTCCGACACGAATCGCATCGAGAGCATCCTCAAGTACGCGGCGCTGAACAAGGGCTGTCTCTTATACACATCTAGATGTGTATAAGAGACAGAATATAATGTCTGCTCTTTGTTCATCTATCCACTTAAAAACCTTCCTTCTTTTGTAATTATCTCTAAGCCCTCTGATATTTAGAGATATTAGATGCATTGAGTTAATATTTTGTTTCCTTTTCATTTATATATATATTTATATGTATATGCAATATATTTCTAAATTTTTATGTATTTTTTAATATATTTTTTTTTAAATATATATAAGATCCGTATATTTAAAGTCGTTGTCGGATTGACAACATTATTTAACTTACGGAATCAGATTTCTTTTCCTTTTTTCCAGCGTTATTTTCTCCACTATTGGTGAGTTTCTTTCTTTTACTAGCTGCAAAGTTTTGTCTGGCAACTTGCGCGGTTTCATCATTTGCTGGAAGTGGTTTGCCCGTGGTAGTGAAGTCCGTTATCGGCCTGAAACCTTTGCTATTTTGTGATGTTTTCTCTTGAGGATCTTTTTCTCGCGCTACATTTTCTGTTTTCTTTTTTTCACGTTGTTTCAACTTTTTTTTTTCTTGCTTGCTTAGCTGGAAATTGTGAGTGTCACACTGCGTGTTGTCAACGCTACTTATTGTCTTGACCCTGGCAATTGCATCCTTCATGATACGCTGTACCTTTTCGTCCAGTTCAATGGAGTCGGGAGCATTCCCTGGGTTGGCGGGCTTATTTAAGAGGTCCTCAAGGACTTCAATCACATTTCTGTCTCTTATACACATCTAGATGTGTATAAGAGACAGTCTTCAATCTCTTTTATCAATTGTTGTTTTATCCTATTTTTTTCTTTTTTCTTTTTAATACCATATTTGCTCGAGAATTCTTTAATCTTTACTTTTAGATGTTCCCAAAGCAAGTCAGGACTTAGGTTATGCTTATTCTTTTTTGTATTTTCAATTATATTTAAAATATTCAGGATGTACTGTTCATCATTTAATAAACTGTTGTTTAACTTCCAAACACCAGGTCCTCTCTTTTCTACATTATTTAGAATCTTTAGTGAGATTGCCTGATGATCTGAGAAGATAAAGGGTCTGATATCGGTATTACTTATTTCACCATTTTTATAAAGGGCGGTAGATACACACCAAAAGTCCAACCTTCTGTATGTGTTCTTTCTTCTCCATGTAAATTGCGTTGTATTTTTATGGCAATGTCGCCATATATCAATAAGTTTATGTTTGTGCATGCATGACTTTAATGTTTGTGGTGATTTGTCATGTTGAAGGTTAATGCTATTTTTTTGATCTTGCTTTCGTTGTAATATACAGTTCATGTCTCCACCCATTATTATAATTTCGTGTTTATCGTTACAAAGAGTATCAATTTTCTTTTCAAGTTTTTTGAAAAATAGTGACCTTTCTTTGTAATTATTTGGGGCATAAACATTTATCAAGTTAAATATATGTTTCTTTTGTTTCACACTTATAATTATGATTCTGCCTTCTCCATCAATATATTTACATTTTATGTCAGTTACACCTATATCAGGCTTAAATAGTATGGAAACCCCTCTACTATTTGTTGTACCAAAACTATGACAAGATGTACCTTTCCAAAATTTATCATAAATATATGCAGATTTTTTTATCATAGTGAGTTTCTTGTAAGAATATAATGTCTGCTCTTTGTTCATCTATCCACTTAAAAACCTTCCTTCTTTTGTAATTATCTCTAAGCCCTCTGATATTTAGAGATATTAGATGCATTTAGTTAATATTTTGTTTCCTTTTCATTTATATATATTTATATATATATATGCAATATATTTCTAATTTTTATGTATTTTTTTTTTTTATATTTGTTTTTTAAATATATATAAAATCCGTATATTTAAAGTCGTTGTCGGTTTGATAACATTATTTATCTTACGGAATCAGATTTCTTTTCCTTTTTTCCAGCATTATTTTCTCCACTATTAGTGAGTTTCTTTCTTTTACTAGCTGCAAAGGTTTGTCTGGCAACTTGCGCGGTTTCATCACTTGCTGGAAGTGGTTTGCCCGTGGTAGTGAAGTCCGTTATCGGCCTGAAACCTTTGCTATTTTGTGATGTTTTCTCTTGAGGATCTTTTTCTTGCGCTACATTTTCTGTTTTCTTTTTTTCACGTTGTTTCAACTTTTTTTTTTCTTGCTTGCTTAGCTGGAAATTGTGAGTGTCACACTGCGTGTTGTCAACGCTACTTATTGTCTTGACCCTGGCAATTGCATCCTTCATGATACGCTGTACCTTTTCGTCCAGTTCAATGGAGTCGGGAGCATTCCCTGGGTTGGCGGGCTTATTTAGGAGGTCCTCAAGGACTTCAATCACATTTCGTGCGTTTGAAGCTTTGTCATTGTTCGTTTTGTAACTACTATTTTTTTCAAGTTCTTCTTCATTGACTTCCTCATTGTTAATTTCTTCATCATCGTCAATTGCAGGAACGTCAGCTTGGTGGTTTGATGATGCTAAAGATTTTTCCTGTTGTTTTGGGACTGCATTGCAATTTTTGGCCATGTGTCCAGAACTGTTACAGATGTTGCATATAACTTTTCCAAGTTTTCTGGGGCATGCTTTAACTTTATGTCCTACAACACCACACTCAAAGCATTTCATTGTATCTTTCTGGTCTTTGTGAAACAATCTTGCAGTGAAATTATTTATTTTGTGAAATCGTGGCAGACTTTCTTTGAAGGGTTCCACAAAAATGAATCGGTCACCATTTAAGAAACGTGATAACTTTCCGTTGATTCTAAATTTAGCGTACTGCACATTTCCTAAGATGGTGCACCCCAACTTCTTCAATGCATCAATTATTTCTTCATTTCTTACTGAAAGAGTTATATCCTTTACTAGGATTCGTGTTGCATTTTCTCCTCCTATCAGGTAGGGGTTAACATCATGTACGTTAATATGCTTCCCTTTTATATTCAACCCTGATGTTATGACATTTACACGTTCTGCATGATCGTCAATGTAGATACGCCATAGGTTCTTAACCTTCTGTGCGCCTATAAGGTGATCACAGTTTATAACGCAATTTAAAGCAAAGAATATATCCTCTTCCTTTAAAAAATCCTCATCCTTGTTTCTGATATCATCGTCTTTAACAAACACTGGTTTGACATTATGACTGTTGACCGCTTCGACTGTCGCCATAGCAACAAACGGTTCTCGACAACAAAGATAGAACAATTGTGTTTATTCGAGCGTGAATAATGCGCTAGACTACAAAGCCTGTTGTCAAGGTAAACAATAGGGTTCCGCCGACCGTGTTTATGGGTACCAGTTTTGGCGGTTATTTCAAGTTCACAGTTGTACAGAGGCCTACCTTGAAAATTGTTTGGACATACTTAAAACGTTGTCAAAATTGCAAGTATTCTGGTTGATTATATATCTTGAATTGTACTGAAAGAAGATCTTATCTCACGATTGTTGAAATTAAGTCAGGATTACTAAAAATATTGAATTTTATTGCTGGCCGTTTAAGTGTACTTGTACACCGGAAAACGCCACCAATGTTGTCAAAAATAATAGTTTTGTTAAGGTTTTGGCAAAGGAAGTCTGTGGTGGCAACTTTGTTTTGCTTGCCAGCAATATCAATATGTTCTTACAATCACATCCTCAGATATCAAATCAAATCAAATCAGGAGAGGATTTGCCCATTACTTGACAATCTGATTGTTACTCCTTTTGAGGTTGAGTCTTTGCTTAAAGAAATTAAGCCTAACAAACCCCAGGCCCGGATTGTATCCCCCGCCCCCTTGGGTCCTACAATATTTTGGCCAACCCGCTATGCTGATTTTTAACAGTAGTATAAGAGAAGGGGTTTATCCCAGAGATATGGAGGTGTGCGGACATAATTCCAATTCCAAAATGTAAATCCCGTAGGTCAGCTGAAAAAGACCTCCGGCCAATTTCGTTATGATCGTAGAGCTATCGACGCATGCGCGTTTGCCGATTTCAGCTTATCTAGTTGTTAAGTACGTTACGTAACAGTGAGATAATTACGATTGCGGCGAGAGGTCTCTACCTTTGATCTTTGCTCGTTAGCACTCAGTGGAATTGACCATTCATGATATCTTGGAATATATTCTGATCGGTTTCATTGGGTTAATTCACAAGTTGATCTAGCTCAATTTTTGGGACCCTGTTTTATGCTCCTCCTGACCACACCCACCACAATGGGACTGGCAGATTTCCATTTTCCTACATAGACAGGCACATAGACCATTACTATACACACAAAAATTGGTTAACTTTCCAGCTATGCTCTGACACCCCTGGGCTCCTGGTCTAACATTGAAAACGTTAAAGAGAAATCTGCCAGTGCGAAAAATCGCTCCAACCAACCGGGATTCGAACCCGGGATCGTCTGTTATGATGCTTTAACCAACTCTTTCACTCAGGCTTTTGTTGAAAATAATACTCGGTATTCCGATACAACACTAGTATTCGACGCCCATATGTGAAACAATCAATTTATATAAACTAAAGTACTTGCTGTTATAGCGCCTTTGAACATTTGTTTTATGGATTCTGACGCTATATAAATTATTTGATTGATTGATAATCCCGATTCAGATGAATATTTTAGCTGTCACCGCCTAATATTATATAGGTATAAAGTACTTTATATATTTTCTAGGTGATTTTGAAGTGCACCAACTCTTTACGACCTATGAGCCTATTGATGTATCATATTTGAGGATGAATAACGGGAACCGATATTTACTTATAACAAATTATAAGAAAGTGAACGTGTACAAGATTGATTCTGTGGTTTATCAATGAAGCAACACAGAAAAACAGTTTTCACAAATTGGTTTGCTACGAAATACGGGCGCTAAATACTCAACATTATTTGAAATTGATGGACAGATATTCGCAGGAATCGCAAATTTTTACGACAGCTCTGCTCATTATAATGTACTAGACGTCATTTTCAAAATGAATACAACAGGTAGATATATGCAATAAAACTATATCTTTTACCTTTCGTTAGATCCGTAGTTTTCATTGGCTTGTTTATTCCTATATGGATATGAATTCATATTTAATCTAAGGGCATTCCTAAAATATGCTCACCCTAACCTCAGGCATTGTGGGACTGAGGTAGATATGCAAGTCCTGTCGAGGACCTCTCTTAACATATTTTGGAGTAAAGCAGAATAAATAATATATTGCTTTTTATGGGCCATGTAAAACATTTTCTACATAGATATGAAGTCCGTCGATCCACTAACAATCTTTTCAACTCAATTGAAGTTTTTCCAGGTGAACTATATGTGGCAGAAGCAGTAGCGTATCCAGGAGTCTGGAAATAGTTTGGGGAGCATGGGGGTCGGGCGAGCATGGGAGGTCGGGTGAAGGTGAAGTGGGGCTCTATGATTAAGTGAGGGGGCGCTAGCTCACGAAATAAGGCGATTTTTATCTAATTGTTTTGCTTCAAACAATTTCAATGGGGGAGGCGGATACGACGAGTTTCGTTAGTGGGGAGGGGGAGGGCGATTTTTTTGTGGCCCGCCCCTGTGTAAAAGTACAACCTAATCATAAAGAAAGAAACGTTATGATACTATTTCATTGCTTAAGATAATAAGAAGCATTTTGTATCTTTTAAGGTTCGTGGTCTGTACACCAGAAGCTACCGGAATCCGGTAATGGTGGATTTTCCATTAAATCATTCCAAACAGACACAGGATTATATCTTGTTTCCATTCAATTCCAAAATTGCATTCAAAATTCAATTGTGTACCGGTGGAATCCAGTAATCGAAGAGTTCGAAATCCACCAGAAGATACCAATGGTAGACTGTCCTGTCAATTCAGAAATATTTAAGGTAACCTTTTTTGTTTTATTGAAGTTTTCGTCATTAAAGACATGTCTGTGTGGTGAAATTTAAGAAAAAACAAAATTTAAGCCATTTCGAGACTACCATTTGACAAAAAACATGTGACATGCCTAAACATGATCATGATGACATCACATAATAATAATAATAATAATAATAATGATAATAATAACAATCAATGAACATCATGACCATAATATAGGCACATCACAACTATATATGGGCATACAACAGTTTTTTGTCAAAACAATTTGAGAGTGTGAGTTTTACAGATCAATTTTAATTTCAAGGAGTCAAAGTACATGTAGACTTGTCTAAATTCACCCACTTAACAATTTATCCTTATAAAAACACAAAAACGGATTTAACTACCCTTTAAATTGTAAAATATGTCGATGACGCCGTTGCCATATAAGAAATATTTACATTTCATCAACAATAACAATAAGAATGGAGAGTTTATGCTTTCTCATATTTGCCACTGAGTCATCTACAGTATTTAGTTTATTAACATTCGGTTTTTAAAAATTCACTGTAAAACGGTTTAAACTGTAAATAATCATGAATAATAATCAAAGAACATCATGACCATAATATAGGCACATCACAACTATATATGGTCATACAACGGATTTTTGTCAAAACAATTTGAGAGTGTGAGTTTTACAGATCAATTTTAATTTCAAGGAGTCAAAGTACATGTAGACTCGACGAAATTCATCCACCTAACAATTTATCCTTATAAAAACTTACAACTACCCTTTAAATTGTAAAATATGTCGATGACGCCGTTGCCATATAAGAAATATCTACATTTCATCAACAATAACAATAAGAATGGAGAGTTTATGCTTTCTCATATTTGCCACTGAGTCATCTATTTAGTTTATTAACATTCGGTTTTTAAAAATTCACTGTAAAACGGTTAAAACTGTAAATAATCCTTGTAAAAACAGTCAAATATTTTAACGATTCAATCGCATCTGATTGGTCACCACCTCCAGTGGCGTACCTAGGGAGGCACGCCACCAACAACTCGCGCTCCCCACTTGTCCCAATGAAAATGTTTGAAGCAGAAGAATCACTCAGTAAATAAAAATCACCTCTTAGTACCTTATTTTGCGACCTGGCGCCCCTCATCATCGAGCCACCCCACCCCTAATCAGCCTTTCCATTTCAATATTTAATTAAAATATCCATGTAAACTTACCACGACATTATTTGAAACACAATCGTTTTGAAATATGATAATTAATAAACCAGTATAGGTATCGCAATACTAACATACATTTTGTAAGTAACAGTAGGCCAAAATCATTGCAGTCATTTAAACTGCCAACAGTTAAGGGACTTCAAATCTTAGGTGACATTACCCTCATCATCATTATCATCATCATCATCCTCCACATAATCATCACTATCATCATCATAATCACATCATCATCACTGCCACAGGAATACGAGATTTTCAATCTCCCTGACATTTGACAAACAGTGAAAAAGATCATAATGTTTATAATGTTTTTGCCCTTGAATATTTTTACAGGTTGGAGGAGAAGCTTTCATGATCACATCAAACACTATGGATAAGCGGGGCAGTGGTAGACAATATAACGTTGTAAACGTTATCTACAAGTTAGAGGGTAGTATTTTTGTGAAATATCTAACTGTACCCGGAAGAGAGGTTTGGAACTGGAGCAGTTTTGAAAGGAACGGAGAACTGTACTTGGCTCAAGCTAACTCCAGACATGAAACTAATGATACTACAGTCGGTACAAGCCTTAAAATATTTCAATGGAAGTAAAAAATAACAACGTTTTAGCATACATCGCTACGTAAACACCTGTTAAAGTGTTAAAAATTGAATCCCTGGTCCTCTGGTAACAATTCCTGTTACAGTAACAGGATTTTTCTCACGACCAAACAACTCAACTCTCTAAGCCTCTTGTGAAGGGATATGCCACTTTCAATAGTGATTAAGTTCACTGCTTGGCAATCCTTGGCCTTCGGCCTGAAACCAATTATTATATAAATAAAATAGAATAAATAAGAGATGAACAAAAGTCCAGGAGAGGACACCCTGGCCTCCCATGGCAAAAGGGCATAACTGACAATTTGCTATTTTGGAGATATTAAGCAAAACGTGTAATTTATTTAGCCCTAAAATGTGTTTTAGTATTTTGATTTCATGGTTAATATATTGAAATAGACAAATAATGTCCCTTTCAGTGTAGCACACATTTTTTCTATAAATATAAATTTTTGTGCTCAAAGTGTCAGTTATGCCCTTTTGTCATGGGTTTTCTGATTTAAGACATGTTGACAAACTTTGGCAAAGGATATTAGTACACAGTTTAGTTTCTTTTAACGCAATTTCAAGTCAGATTATTCAAAAATAACATTCAATATATAATGTCATATGTTAGACATGTATAAAATATCAAATAAATGTACAATAATACAAAAAAAAACGCATTAAATAATAAATACTAATAATACAAACGATTGAAAATCCATGTATAGGCTAAACAAGTATACAAACAAGAAAGAGAATTAACAATAATATGCTGTTACGTATCAACAAAGCTTTTTGGCTCAAAGTGCAAGATTGAGGATCCTGTGGATAGGGACCCCTAGTGGTTTCGGGCCCGCACAAGCGCGCATAGGCGTTACGCCACTGCGTGAATGATGTATGCGTATGCGTATGTGAAATATAACAGTTGTAAAGCTAGAATGAGCGTGTGGTTGCTTCAATGTGTACGTTAAACAAGCATTATAATTATTTTGTATAAATTGGTTTTTAATTTTATTTACAAAGTAAAATAATAAATATATATTTTGTCATGTATTAAAAATATTAATTATCATTATTATTATTTTTATTAGCAATTCTTTTCTATGTTCCAAAGTCAAATAATAATATCAAACGATTACAAATATTGTTTTTCATATTCTAATAACATATTTAGAAAATGTATTACATATTTAGATTTAGATGAAAATTTAAGTTGTTTGGTTAGTGAACACAGCTGATTCTGGTAAACTGTGAAGTTATACCTTTTTGCCATGTTATTTGCTATAAATAGACAAAGTAGTAGTGCCTTTTTGTTATGGTTATTTGCTGAATAAACGTTGTAGTTGTGTCTCTCTGCCATGGTTATTCTCTAAATAATCGTTTTAGTTGTCCCTCTTTGCCATTGTTATTTCTAGTTAAAACGTGAATTGTTATTCTGCCATGGCTAATTATTTTTATTTTTAAAGTTACTATTTCCCCATAGATTTATTTCCATAGTATTAAACTGTATGC